TGTTGTTGTTGATGTTTATACTTCTGCTGCTGCTGCTGTTGTTGTAGTTGTTGCTTTTGCTGCTGTTGTAGTTGTTGTTACTGCTGCTGTGTGTAGTAGTTGCTGTTGTTGTTGATTTTGTTACTGCTGATGCTGCTGTTGTTGTTGTAGTTGTTGCTGTTGCTGCTTCTGTTGTTGTTTTAGTTGTTGCTGCTGCTGCTGTTGTAGTAGTTGCTGTTGTTGATTTTGTTACTGCTGCTCTGCTGCGTTGTTGTAGTGTTGTTACTGCTGCTGTTGTCGTTGTTGTAGTTGTTGTTGCTGCTGCTTCTGTTGTTGTTGTTGCTGTTGCTTCTGTTGTTGTTGTAGTTGTTGTTGCTGCTGCTTCTGTTGTTGCTGTAGTTGTTGCTGCTGTTGTTGTAGTTGTTGTAGTTGTTGCTGCTGCTGCTGCTGTTGTCGTTGCTGTTGTAGTTGTTGTTATTGCTTCTGTTGTTGTTGTAGTTGTTGCTGTTGCTGCTTCTGTTGTTGTAGTTGTTGCTGTTGCTGCTTCTGTTGTTGTTTTAGTTGTTGCTGCTGCTGCTGTTGTCGTTGTTGCTGTTGTAGTTGTTGTTGTTATTGCTTCTGTTGTTGTTGTAGTTGTTGCTGTTGCTGCTTTTGTTGTAGTTGTTGCTGCTGCTGCTGCTGTTGTAGTAGTTGCTGTTGTTGATTTTGTTACTGCTGCTGCTGCTGTTGTTGTAGTTGTTGTTACTGCTGCTGTTGTCATTGTTGTTGTAGTTGTTGTTGCTGCTGCTTCTGTTGTTGTTGTTGCTGTTGCTTCTGTTGTTGTTGTAGTTGTTGTTGCTGCTGCTGCTGTTGTTGTAGTTGTTGTAGTTGTTGCTGCTGCTGCTGCTGTTGTCGTTGCTGTTGTAGTTGTTGTTATTGCTTCTGTTGTTGTTGTAGTTGTTGCTGTTGCTGCTGCTGCTGCTGCTGCTGTCGTAGTAGTTGCTGTTGTTGTTGATTTTGTTACTGCTGCTGCTGCTGCTGTTGTTGTAGTTGTTGTTACTGCTACTGTTTTCATTGTTGTTGTAGTTTTTGTTGCTGCTGCTGTTGTCGTTGCTGTTGCTGTTGTTGTAGTTTTGCTGTTGTAGCTGTTTTTGCTGCTGCTGTTGTAGTAGTTGCTGTTGTTGTTGATTTTGTTACTGCTGCTGCTGCTGTTGGTTTAGTTGTTGTTGCTGCTGCTGTTGTAGTAGTGCTGTGGTTGTTGATGTAGTTACTGCTGCTGCTGCTGTTGTTGTAGTTGTTGTTACTGCTGCTGTTGTCATTGTTGTTGTAGTTGTTGTTGCTGCTGCTTCTGTTGTTATTGTTGCTGTTGCTTCTGTTGTTGTTGTAGTTGTTGTTGCTGCTGCTTCTGTTGTTGCTGTAGTTGTTGCTGCTGTTGTTGTAGTTGTTGTAGTTGTTGCTGCTGCTGCTGCTGTTGTCGTTGCTGTTGTAGTTGTTGTTATTGCTTCTGTTGTTGTTGTAGTTGTTGCTGTTGCTGCTTCTGTTGTTGTTGTAGTTGTTGCTGTTGCTGCTTCTGTTGTTGTTTTAGTTGTTGCTGCTGCTGCTGTTGTAGTAGTTGCTGTTGTTGATTTTGTTACTGCTGCTGCTGCTGTTGTTGTAGTTGTTGTTACTGCTGCTGTTGTCATTGTTGTTGTAGTTGTTGTTGCTGCTGCTTCTGTTGTTGTTGTTGCTGTTGCTTCTGTTGTTGTTGTAGTTGTTGTTGCTGCTGCTTCTGTTGTTGCTGTAGTTGTTGCTGTTGCTGCTGTTGTTGTAGTTGTTGTAGTTGTTGCTGCTGCTGCTGCTGCTGTTGTCGTTGCTGTTGTAGTTGTTGTTATTGCTTCTGTTGTTGTTGTAGTTGTTGCTGTTGCTGCTGCTGCTGCTGCTGCTGTCGTAGTAGTTGCTGTTGTTGTTTATTTTGTTACTGCTGCTGCTGCTGCTGTTGTTGTAGTTGTTGTTACTGCTGCTGTTTTCATTGTTGTTGTAGTTTTTGTTGCTGCTGCTGCTGTTGTCGTTGCTGTTGCTGCTGTTGTAGTTGTTGCTGTTGTAGCTGTTGTTGCTGCTGCTGTCGTAGTAGTTGCTGTTGTTGTTGATTTTGTTACTGCTGCTGCTGCTGTTGTTGTAGTTGTTGTTGCTGCTGCTGTTGTAGTAGTTGCTGTGGTTGTTGATGTAGTTACTGCTGCTGCTGCAGTTGTTGTAGTTGTTGTTGTTGTTGTTGTAGTTGCTCCTGCTGCTGTTGTTGTTGATGTAGTTACTGCTGCTGCTGCAGTTGTTGTAGTTGTTGTTGTTGTAGTTGCTGCTGCTGCAGTTGTTGTAGTTGTTGTTGTTGTAGTTGTTGCTTTTGCTGCTTTTGTAGTTGTTGCTGGTGTTGTAGTTGTTGCTTTTTCTGCTGTTGTTGTTGCTGGTGTTTTAGTTGTTGCTGTTGCTGCTGTTGTAGTTGTTTTTGCTGATGCTGTTGTTTTTGTAGTTATTGCTGTTGTAAGTGGTGTTTTTCATGTTTCCTGCAGAACTGATGAGACAGAAAAACTGACCAATCAGGAGTCAGCTCTGGCGTCTCTACAGGACGAGGCTGAAGGTGAGACATCGTTAACACAACTTGTCAATATGTAAAACAGCTGGAGACACAGCGTTTTGTATGTATTCAACGTAGTGATGAAGCACGCTCTGTAGAGCAGTTTGTCCGTTCGGACTACAGTAGAAACATGGTGGTGCAACATGGTGACGTCCATGTAAGAGCAGCGGCGGTGTCTGTAGATAGAAATGTCTCATTCTAAGGTAATAAAAAAAAACGGTTTATTATGTCAGGTCTGTACACACCACTGAACACACAGTGATATTAAATATTACACCCTGGACCTTTAACAGGTGTTTGTTTTTCAGGCCCCTGTTCGGACTCCCACCTCAGACAGATCTACACTGACCCCCCCCTCACTCTGACCCCGTCCTTCAGCCCCGAGGTGAGAGAGTATCGTGCCGAGGTGACCTTTGACACGGTGACAATTCGAATCCGGCCGGAGCCTGTCAGTTCAGCCTGTCGGGTTCACCTGGATGAGCACCGAGGCCCCAGGTGAGACCAGGACCCCTGACTTCTGACTTCTGAGCCCAAAGTCCACATTACTAAAGGTTCTTATTCTTCAGGATGGCAAACTACCCGGTCGGCCTTGGCAACAGCAGGATCAGCATCCTGGTGACGGACGGCGCTGAGACGGAGCCTGCCGTCATGACCATCTACACCGTCCACGTGTACCGCGAGAGCCGGCCCAGTCTGCCTATGTTCGGGGATCATGTGACGTGCAGCTTCCTGCAGGTAGGTCAGCTGTTTTCCTATTGGATATGATGTCACGGTCAGGTGAGATTAAAGACATTTTAGAAACAGTGGGAAAAGGCAGAAATGAGCTTGTATAGCTGAGCTGACGAACATGTGGACATAATTTAAAGGAAAGCGCTCTGACACAAACCAGCACGCCAAGCTGCTCCGTGTTAAACATGGAAAGCCAGAAAACATCAAACCGTCAACAATCTGCTGACACGTCAGTGAAAGAAGCTCTGAGCATCAAACATCTGTGGCCCCTGAGGGGTTGAAGAGAAAACACCACTCGCTTATTTCAAACACATTTTCACCTCATGTCTTTTAAATTCCTCTCGTCCACTCAAACAGGATCCTCCGGGTCTGAAAGCTGAACCCTTAAACCTGCGTCCTCTCCAGCAGCCAGCAGGGGGCGACTTAAACCTGCGTCCTCTCCAGCAGCCAGCAGGGGGCGACTTAAACCTGCGTCCTCTCTAGCGGCCAGCAGGGGGCGACTTAAACCTGCGTCCTCTCCAGCAGCCAGCAGGGGGCGACTTAAACCTGCGTCCTCTCTAGCAGCCAGCAGGGGGCGACTTAAACCTGCGTCCTCTCCAGCAGCCAGCAGGGGGCGACTTAAACCTGCGTCCCCTCCAGCAGCCAGCAGGGGGCGACTTAAACCTGCGTCCTCTCCAGCAGCCAGCAGGGGGCGCCTTAAACCTGCGTCCTCTCTAGCTGCCAGCAGGGGGCGCCTTAAACCTACGTCCTCTCTAGCTGCCAGCAGGGGGCGCCTTAAACCTGCGTCCTCTCCAGCAGCCAGCAGGGGGCGACTTAAACCTGCGTCCTCTCCAGCAGCCAGCAGGGGGCGACTTAAACCTGCGTCCTCTCTAGCAGCCAGCAGGGGGCGACTTAAACCTGCGTCCTCTCTAGCGGCCAGCAGGGGGCGCCTTAAACCTGCGTCCTCTCTAGCGGCCAGCAGGGGGCGCCTTAAACCTGCGTCCTCTCTAGCAGCCAGCAGGGGGCGACTTAAACCTGCGTCCTCTCCAGCAGCCAGCAGGGGGCGCCTTAAACCTGCGTCCTCTCTAGCAGCCAGCAGGGGGCGACTTAAACCTGCGTCCTCTCTAGCAGCCAGCAGGGGGCGACTTAAACCTGCGTCCTCTCTAGCTGCCAGCAGGGGGCGCCTTAAACCTGCGTCCTCTCTAGCAGCCAGCAGGGGGCGCCTTAAACCTGCGTCCTCTCTAGCAGCCAGCAGGGGGCGACTTAAACCTGCGTCCTCTCCAGCAGCCAGCAGGGGGCGCCTTAAACCTGCGTCCTCTCTAACAGCCAGCAGGGGGCGCCTTAAACCTGCGTCCTCTCTAGCAGCCAGCAGGGGGCGCCTTAAACCTGCGTCCTCTCCAGCAGCCAGCAGGGGGCGCCTTAAACCTGCGTCCTCTCTAGCAGCCAGCAGGGGGCGCCTTAAACCTGCGTCCTCTCCAGCAGCCAGCAGGGGCGCCTTAAACCTGCGTCCTCTCTAACAGCCAGCAGGGGGCGACTTAAACCTGCGTCCTCTCCAGCAGCCAGCAGGGGGCGCCTTAAACCTGCGTCCTCTCTAACAGCCAGCAGGGGGCGACTTAAAGCTGCGTCCTCTCCAACAGCCAGCAGGGGGCGACTTAAACCTGCGTCCTCTCCAGCAGCCAGCAGGGGGCGACTTAAAGCTGCGTCCTCTCCAGCAGCCAGCAGGGGGCGACTTAAACCTGCGTCCTCTCCAGCAGCCAGCAGGGGGCGACTTAAACCTGCGTCCTCTCCAGCAGCCAGCAGGGGGCGCCTTAAACCTGCGTCCTCTCTAGCAGCCAGCAGGGGGCGACTTAAACCTGCGTCCTCTCCAGCAGCCAGCAGGGGGCGACTTAAACCTGCGTCCTCTCTAGCAGCCAGCAGGGGGCGACTTAAAGCTGCGTCCTCTCCAGCAGCCAGCAGGGGGCGACTTAAAGCTGCGTCCTCTCCAGCAGCCAGCAGGGGGCGACTTAAACCTGCGTCCTCTCCAGCAGCCAGCAGGGGGCGACTTAAACCTGCGTCCTCTCTAGCAGCCAGCAGGGGGCGACTTAAACCTGCGTCCTCTCCAGCAGCCAGCAGGGGGCGACTTAAACCTGCGTCCTCTCTAGCAGCCAGCAGGGGGCGACTTAAACCTGCGTCCTCTCTAGCAGCCAGCAGGGGGCGACTTAAACCTGCGTCCTCTCTAGCAGCCAGCAGGGGGCGACTTAAACCTGCGTCCTCTCTAGCAGCCAGCAGGGGGCGACTTAAACCTGCGTCCTCTCTAGCAGCCAGCAGGGGGCGACTTAAACCTGCGTCCTCTCTAGCTGCCAGCAGGGGGCGCCTTAAACCTGCGTCCTCTCTAGCAGCCAGCAGGGGGCGCCTTAAACCTGCGTCCTCTCTAGCAGCCAGCAGGGGGCGACTTAAACCTGCGTCCTCTCCAGCAGCCAGCAGGGGGCCCTTAAACCTGCGTCCTCTCTAACAGCCAGCAGGGGGTGCCTTAAACCTGCGTCCTCTCCAGCAGCCAGCAGGGGGCGCCTTAAACCTGCGTCCTCTCCAGCAGCCAGCAGGGGGCGACTTAAAGCTGCGTCCTCTCCAGCAGCCAGCAGGGGGCGACTTAAACCTGCGTCCTCTCCAGCAGCCAGCAGGGGGCGACTCCCTGGTTTCAGAAAGAAGTGTGATTGTATAGAAGTCTCTGAGAAAATGTTTCTACTTGTCAGCTGATTTATTCCCTCAGTAAACACTTTCCTGATGAGTTTGTGGTCTCAGTCGCTAGTTTCAAGTCTTCTTCAACACAGCATGATGTTCATTTAGTAATTATGGTCCCATTTAGAGGAACAGAGACCAGCTTTAGGGCGGGGCTACAAGCTGACTGACAAGCTGTCAATCAGGATAGAGGCGACTTGTATCCGCTGCTCTGTGTACATTTAACCAGCGCTGCTGAAAAAGCTCATCAGGAGTCGGCTGCTCATTTTTCAGTGAGTGCGTTTTATTTTAAGCCTGTTTGTCACTAGCTAAAATTAGCATCCCAGCTAACATCCCAGTTAAACCTTGCTAACCAAGCTAGCTAGCTCCACCCTCTCGTCCAAATATGGTCCAGTTGGTTCCAAAAAGTCAAGATGGTGACGACTAAATTCCAAACTGGAGGCTTCAGAACGGCGGTCCACAACCCAACGGGTGACGTCACGGCGCCCACTTCTTTTGTACCGTCTGTGGTTTAACAGCGGGGCGCCCTGATGGCTGCAGAGCTCAGAGGAAACGTGAGGCTGCGTCCAACAAATCCTGATGTCCATTTCTCTCTGAGGACATCTGAGGACATTTTCCTTCAGAGACACAACGAAGACAAAAAACACAGAGCGACCACACAGACGGTCCCAAAATGTCCTGGAACTGAATTTATGTTTTTATATTCACCAGTTGTCTCAGAGGATTAAATGTGTTTTCATGAAAGAATAAATTCCTGCTCTCTGTTGGAGAATGAAACATCTGGTCTGGATGAAGTCTATGACGAAGCGAAGCCGTGAAACCGCTTCTCTGGATTCTTCTTTGATTCTTTCTCTTCTTCTCTTGTTTCACCATGTTGCACCTGTGATCTACCTGTAGCTTCAGACAGACAGGTAGATGAAGAGAGTAGGTGTTCCCTCATCCTGCTGTGGGGTCGGCGAAGGGGCCCCTGCATAATAGAGGGGCCATTGATGCGGTGTGGGGTCACTTGTTTGAAGTTCAGTCATGTGAAGATAAAAGTACAGCTGCTGACAGGTAGACAGGTGCCCCTCCCCCCCAGGTCCTTACACACCTGATCACAGGTCCTGCTCTTCTTTATGTGCTATTAAAAGTGTAAAGTCCACGGAGACGGGTCAGGGAGGCCTGTGTCGCGACCCGCAGGTGGTCGTAATGTTCTGGCTGATCCAAGTAGAAAGCTGTAGAAAAAGTGAATCTTTCTGTGAGTCTGATTAATTTATGAATATCAGACTGTGATATTTTACAGATGTTGTTACAATAAACATCGTCACTGAGTTTGTGAGCTGAACTATTAAAGGCTGTAAACAATGTGATTGGACGAAGCCCTGCTTCACTGTTCTGATTCATCATGACGTCTCTCTCTCTCTGTTATATACATAGGCCTGTATATGTAGACACATAGGTGCATCTCAGAAAATTAGAAGATCCCGGAAAGTTCATTTCTTTCCGTAGTTCAAGTCAAACAGTGAAACCTCCATATATTCTAGAATCATTCCACAGAAAGTGAAATATTTCATCTGATTCTATCTTTTCATGTTTCAACACTGAAGAAATGACTCTTTGCTCCAATATAAATGTAAGTGAGCGTGCAGCTTGTATAACAGTGTAAAGTAGTGAGCGTGCAGCTTGTATAACAGTGTAAAGTAGTGAGCGTGCAGCTTGTATAACAGCGTAAAGTAGTGAGCGTGCAGCTTGTATAACAGTGTAAAGTAGTGAGCGTGCAGCTTGTATAACAGTGTAAAGTAGTGAGCGTGCAGCTTGTATAACAGCGTAAAGTAGCGAGCGTGCAGCTTGTATAACAGTGTAAAGTAGCGAGCGTGCAGCTTGTATAACAGCGTAAAGTAGCGAGCGTGCAGCTTGTATAACAGCGTAAAGTAGTGAGCGTGCAGCTTGTATAACAGCGTAAAGTAGCGAGCGTGCAGCTTGTACAACAGTGTAAAGTAGTGAGCGTGCAGCTTGTATAACAGTGTAAAGTAGTGAGCGTGCAGCTTGTATAACAGTGTAAAGTAGCGAGCGTACAGCTTGTATAACAGCGTAAAGTAGTGAGCGTGCAGCTTGTATAACAGTGTAAAGTAGCGAGCGTGCAGCTTGTATAACAGCGTAAAGTAGCGAGCGTGCAGCTTGTATAACAGCGTAAAGTAGTGAGCGTGCAGCTTGTATAACAGCGTAAAGTAGCGAGCGTGCAGCTTGTACAACAGTGTAAAGTAGCGAGCGTGCAGCTTGTACAACAGCGTAAAGTAGCGAGCGTGCAGCTTGTATAACAGCGTAAAGTAGCG